CTCCTTCATTCATGTGCGCCATGCGAGAGCAACACCGGGGAACCGACAATTGAAAAATGACGGCTCTGCCGCCCTGTCCCTCGTGGCAGAGCAGAAACCCTCTTCTGAGGCAATCTGCAAGTGAGGGGGTGGGCAGCTGCTAACGGCAGATTAGGAGAAAGTCTTCTGCTTCGGAAGCGGTTTGCTACAGGATGTTTCGGGGCCTGCCTGGATCCGACAGGACTGCCCGGATGTCCCAGCAAACAGCCCGTCGCCTGCGCCCACTCTGGCTGGGGGGGCTTTCTCACCTAATTGTATTCTTTCATGTTATTTCTGATGCTGCAGGTTACCACGTCTGCACTTGGCTTTGGTGCCCGCTGTTCCCATGGCAACGGAACATGCTCTGGATTTGCCTTGACCCATTCTGAGATACTTTATTAGCTTTAATGAACTGCGTTTTTAATAGAAGCCTACACTGGATTTTTTGAAATATATGTGCTTTAAATTCCATGGTTTTATTAACAAATGACATGGGAATATAAGATAAATAATTATATTTGCATGACTAACACACATGTCTTAATGTATATATATAAAGCTGTAAAACATAATTATAAATTATCTTTAAGAAAAGTCCAGGGAAAAAACCAGACCATTTCTTGACCATTCGAGCAGCATTGCCACTGAAGGCTGACGGCGGAGGTTTGTGAGCCGAGCAGAGCTCCTGGGATGCCGCTGGCACTCGGACAAGGGTCCGGGATTTCCAAGCGTGTGCGTCTGCGACGAGGAGCCAAACTCGGCTCCTCCCAGGCTCACCCGCGGCACCGCCTCGACAGCCTGATTCTGGAGCGATGCTCACCCTGGCAGAAAAGCAGACTATGATGTTACCTTTTTTGCAAAATGAAGACTAGGTATTTTTTTGCCGTGGAGACATTTTAAAAAAACCAAAACCACCAGCATGAAAGGAAAACCACCTCTTCCCTGCCTGTTTGTGGGGCCCAAGTGCTGAGTGTGCTCACATTCACCACGAGATCTTCGATCCCAGAGGAAGGGCAGGTGAGCAACGGGCTTACTCATATACCAAGTAGATTTGTTCCCAAATCAGTGGGGGGCACTCAGCCCTCTGACCCCTTGGGATGAGCGGGGCAGTGGGCCGTGGGGTTTCGGTTCTCCCTGTGTCGCAGCGTTAAACTCGCAGTCATCAAGGGACAGCCAGCACTTCAGTGTCTCCGACTCTTCCTACAGCCAGTCATTGCTCTGTGCAATTCGAGACTGTGAGACTAAAACTGAAAAGAAAGGGGAAAAAATAAAAGAAGGTCTGGGAAGGCTCATGTGTGTTTGTTTTGCTTGCAGTACTCAAAATAAAATAGACTGTTCATTTGCGGCTGCTTGCAGACTTTGCAACGTTACCAGTAGCCAGCACTGGGTTTGTGGGTGCCTCCTTCTCCGTGTCCCAGGAGGTGCCTCCGGCCGTCCAGCCCCATGCTGCCCAGCACGCCACCGCAGCCTGGCACCCTGCCGCAGCCTGGCATGGCACACCTGGCACGGCACAGCGGGCCCTCGAGCAGCCATAGAGGTTCGAAGGAGCAGGAGCCCCGTGATGGCAAACTCCCACGGGATGTGCCCTGTGGTCGTCCTCCTTGTTTTGCTCGGTAATAATTTAAACTTCTTTGAGAGTTACTATTACACGGTCAAAAGCAGCATGGAAAGTAGTGACGAGCGAGAAAGTGACTTAACTGATCCTGGCTGGCACTTGTGCCAGGCTCAGCTCCTTTGCAGAATTATAATCCCTCTCTAGATGAAAGGGAAATATTTGCACTCGCACGGTGTATCTCGCTTCTGTTAGTGTGACCAATCTTCTCGAGTGGCTGTGCTGAGGCGGTGACAAACACACACTGGTTTGATTATCCCCTCACCGAGGGACGTGGCAAAATCTCAGCACTTAAAACGTTGGTGTAGGGGGTTTGAGCCACGTGGGCGCGGGTGTTATTCACCAGCGTGAGATCCAGTTTTCCAGCAATGCAAGTGACAGCCAGTATCGAGTGGAAATGGATTATATGTGTGATGCGAGGATTAAAAATAGAAGCTTTGTGTCAAACCCCACGTATGTTTTGACTAAATCCTAGATAACAAGAAGAATGGATAAAAGATGGAGATTATACAGAGAACACCAAAACCCAAGAAGCCAGGATTAAAGAAGAAAAGGATTTGAGTAGGTTAGTGCAATTAATGATTGCCAAGTGCCATCCTGGCATCCAGCTGGGACTGCTGCAGCTTCTTCTGGGTACGTCTCGCATTACAGGTGCTTCGATCTGCAGACCTGCAAGAGGCACTTCCAGTCCATGGTGTGAAACACCCGAGGCTCAGGTTCAGCTCAGGTCAAGGCTCGGGGAACTCGTGGTCAGTTTTTGAACCATCCACCACTGTAAGTCAATTGTTTCAGATGGGCAGAAACTCTTTCCCATAGTAAGACCTGGAACATTCCCAGAAAGGATGGGTTGTCTTGAAAAGGGGCGTCCTCAGCCACGTCCCTCGGCAGAAGTCTACAGTACCTTTCATGCTGGAAAGCTAATGCAGTTTTACCACCTTTTTTGTTTCAATGAACTGTAAGCACTTGAAATAAGTCTTTTTTCTCATGTGACTAGTGCTCAGCAATTCCCCCTCGGGGAACTGGACCTGCGCTGACTGTCCCAGGACAACCAAGAGCTGCCCTCGCAGTGCCCCATGCCCACAAGGGGCTGTTAGCACCACATCTTACAGCGCCCGCTCTGACTACTGACCCTCTGAAGATCACACAACGCAGTCACTGCTTTCACGAGAGGAAGCATTTCACCAGACAAGGCAGGACTTACAAATAAAATAATTTTATTGAGTTTCTGCTTCTACAGCATGTGGCACGTAAAGAGAATTAAGACACGAGGTGCGATGAGAAATTGTGTATTTGTCCTTCACTGAGCAGAGGATCCATCTTACCCAGAAAAACAAAGCAAATGTCCTTCTCTGCTAGTTGTGGTGCCCAGTGAAGGCCACCGCTGGGACACGTGGGCAAACGGAAGCTGAAGTTGACCTGGAGGTTGTGGCCGATGTCTGCAGTTCTGCCAACCTGATGTGAGGAGAAATGGCTGCCTGGCTAACAAGTCTTGTTTTAACTCAAAACCAAAAATATTTGCATTTACTTGATATAATTGCAGTGGAACAAACAGCACTAATGTACTTAATAACTCAGGGAAAAATCCACGATGAGAAAGTGTCCAAAATCCACAGTTGTCTGATAAAGATGGGCTGATTTAACTGTGTTTGTGAAGCTTGTACTTGGGATGTTGTGACTTCATTTTTGGCCTCTGCAGCCAAGGAACCAGCAAAGTTTCATTTTTTCAAAACTTGATCTTCCTCCAGGGTTTGGGTCTTAGAAACTTTTTTCGTTAAGGAAGTGCTGATAGTTCAAGAAAAAAGTTTGGGACCTTTTTGCAGTATTGGTTGTGTTTCTGTATTTCCCTTTACACTTTTGTTCACCCTTTATTAATTGGACAATGTAAAAAATAAAGATCTAGTGATCATGCAAGGATGCCACCTAATTCTGTAACATCTCTCCCCCTTTATGTCCGAATCTCAGTTGTGGCAACACCGTTCTCTCCACTCGACTCCAGACACCGTGGTGATGTAGGGGGGGATGAGCAGCAGCTCTGGAGGGGTCTTAAGAAACTGTTCATGCAAGTAGCTCTGGGGAGGCGTCAAATACAGGGAAAAAACAGCTTTTCCCCCCTGAGGAATCAACGGCATTTTTTTATATATGACGAAAGGAACTTGGGGTACACACTGCACAAACTTCTAACAGCTCAGGAACACCTCTACACGAACAGGAAACCCGTGAACGCGCCGCGGGCGGGGGCTGACCGCCGCGGTGAAGAGCCGCTCGCGGGTCGGAAACCTCCGTCTTCTGCTTCTGCTCGTCTAAGCGGGCACAGGCAGCGCAGTGGGGCTGGTCCACGGCCCCTCTCCCGACCTCCTGCGCTGTCTGTAGACACTCAGAGCCACTTTGCACTTTTCCAGCCTTCACACACACTAAAAACTATTTTACATGTTATTTCAGAGACCAAACTTCCAGCTCATGTCTCAGTCCACCTTCTTCCTCTGGAAACAGATCCATACAGCAAAAGCCACAAAAGAAAACATCACCTTGGGAGACGTATTAGACAAAGACATATTCGACCACAAGACGGGTTTCTGCCTTTACTTACGCAGGAACAACCAGACCGGAAAGTCTCACTGCTGCTGCTGCCGCTCAGCAACCAACGCCTGAGCCCGTGGGCCAGGGGCAAAGACAACTCGCTTCGGTCCCGCCGGACGCGCCGCGGTCTGCGTCACGGCGTGGGTGGGGGTTTGGGCGAGGGACAGGACCCCTGGCTGTCAAAGCTCGCTGTCCGGCCGTGCCACTGATGGGAGAAAAGAGAAAGCAAGTCTAAGCAAACAGGTGAGATTTATTTAAAACCCTTCCCATCCCTTCACCTCTCTGCCTGTCTCCCGTCCCGCAGTGTTCTCCTCTGCCCCACAGCACGCCTCGACTTTTGCACAGCTGCCTTTAACCACGCGGGAAGAATTGCTGAACAATTTACTTTATTACTTTGTAAACCAATTCATGATCATGAGGACTGCTCACAAAAAAAAGGGAAAAATAAACAGTACCTGTGTGGGCTATGGAGACAAAGTCTGCTCTCATTTTTGCTTTCTGTTGTTTCCTGGTTTAGTGCTGTTGCCTTTTTGTTTTAGAAACATTGCCTAATTGCAAAATTACTTGAGCCTTTCCAGCCTGGTGATTTTGCTCCGCAGAAGCCAGGTCCGCAGTGCCAGAGACATTTCTCAAAGTGAAAATCAGATCAGCGAGTCAATGGACGTAGGAAACATTTTCTTGCCATGCTTATGGGATCATAAATTATTAGTCATCTGCCGTGGGGGCTGTTATTATGATTCAAAACCTTTACTCTTTGAGCTTTTGAGTACTCGCCCATCTCACCATCTCGTTTTATTAAATTCAAATGACAAATGACAGACATCTCCCAGAAACAGCAGGAGGCATAGTACTTCCACTGCTTCCCTCGGATCAGTTCCCTCTCTCCTGCGTAAGCAGAAGCTCTCTGCTGGTTCCTATCAATGCTCCGCCACGTACCAGTTTCACTTCTGGGGGTGAAAACTCATTCTGCAACCCGAGCTTCACCCTCGCCTCGGCCAAGGCGTTTCAAATGAAACTGCCTGAAAAGGAGAGAGCAGCGCGGCTGCTCGTGCTCCCAGGAAGGCTGCGGAGCCAAACCACCGCGTGCAGGGGCCGAGGCGGCCGTCCACCCGCCTGCTCTGGGGGGGACACCCCCACAGCCCCGGGCCACCCTGGCTGCTGTGGGTGGGGGGTAGTGGGTGCCCTCAGTGATGGCTGTGACACCCCGCGGGGTCCATCCCATGGGATGGCTGCGCATCAGCACTGCCTGTCCGGGGTCAGGGCTGCCCCCGTAAGCGTGCGGTTACAAAGCTGGGGCAGAAATAGGGGCAGGAATTTGGCCAATTTCCTTCCCCAGAGAGACCAGTCAGTGTGAAGTAAGTCACTGCGCGAGTTTGCACGATACGGACTGTATTGCACCAGGGCTGAGCAGAAATTAATGAGCAAAGCAGCTGGGAATCTCGTCCTTCCAAACAGGCTGCCTTAAGGTAAGAAAAGTTTCTTCTGCGTTTCTCATGTCAAAAGTGTTCGCTAAAGTCCCTGAGGATAATACAGGTACACCCTTCCCATGAGACTGACCACGGAAACAGAAGATGGGCAAAGATTACAACAGAAACGGGCTTTTGGCAGAGTCCTCAGCACGCTCCATGCATGTTCTGCCTGCAGTGAGTGTCAATGTTTGCTACTGCAAAAATGTGACCAAAACTCTTCTGAGAGTACGTTTGAGTGATCAGGGTGACGTGGGGAACCTGGAGATACTTTTCCTTCATTTAATTGGAAAAGGTGAACCACCCATTGTGTAATTAACAGTCAGAAACTAGGAACAGTTCAGTGAAAGTCAAACATGCCCAAAAGTCTGGAAGAGGCTGGTTTTGCATATTTTTAAAGATAAATGGCTGCTCTCCGTTATGGGCATGACTTAGCTCTCAGCAAAGTTACCAGTTTTCATCTGGAGAAATGTTTTAAACAAATAAATGCTCCCACGCTGAATGTCAGAGGGACTTAGCAACATCAAAGACCTTTTGCATTGCACTGATGATGCTACTCTGCGATATCAGACAGTTTGTCTTTCATAGATAACAGGAAAATTTTCAATTTTCAGAAGTCCCCTTCAAAGTCTGGAAAGATGCACTAGAATTTTATATTTCTTTTTACAGATACATCACTTAACCTGGCTGACGGGTGCACTGGGGAAACGGCAATGGGTGGGGGTGGCTGAACACACCTGGGAGGCTGAGGCCACGGCAGCAGGTGCCAGTGGGACCTCGGGGCTGAAAAATGGGAACAGGTTTGTGCTGAGGACAAGAATAGCTCCAAAATGCATCAGCAAGTGGGATTCTTGTTTTCTGCTCACAAACTCTCTTTCTAAGCAGCTTGTGTGAAGACGACAGTACTTAGAAGCCTGTAATTAATGATTCATTTGCACATGTTCCCTTTTTAATGATGACGGTCATTAAAGAAGTGCCGTCATTACAGTTTGTTACTCACTGTTGATAAATGTGGAGCAACTAAAGACATGAAATGCAACAGAAGGGAGTTTCCCTAAAGGCTCCAGCAATGAAAGAGGAGAAAGAGCAACACCGGCTGACGGAGAACGGCCTGATGGATGCTGCCGACCCAGAAAGGGGGTTTGGTCGTGTTGGCACAGCGGTGCGGCCAGCGGGACCGGCACGGTGCTGCCCGGGGGCCTCGTGGTGGACAGTCAGGGACCAAGGCAGGAGGGGGCCGGTGCCCAGTCCAGGGGGTGCAGCCCCAACGACACCGGCGTCCGTCTATTGGTCCCGCACTGGACTAACGATCCTGAAACAGATCAGTCCCGACACGGCAATACCGGATGAGCATGAGGCCCAGAGAGAGAGAGAGCGAGAGCACTCTGAGAGCGAGAGCTCCGGAAGAGCAAAGGCCCTTCTTTCCAGTTAACCCTCATTTTCATACTGGGCATGACACTGCATGATCTGGAATACTCCATTGGCCAATACAGCCCTCAGTCCTAAGCCTCGGTTCAAATCCCAAGGGGAGTTGTGGACCCTCTGTCCCGGCCATGCTCCCCCCTATCCTGTTGTGCTCCTGCACGCTGGCAAGAACACGGCAGCTGGCAAGTCCTTGAGGTCCCAGTGCCAACTAAAACATGAGTGTGTGGTCAACGTTCTTCTCAGAGCGAGTCCCGGGCTAAAACCAACACCCAGAGCTCTCTGGCTGCTGAGCAGGACGGACGCCGTCCCAGCCGAACCAGGACACTCCGCAGCCGGAGCTGTACAAAACACGGCAGGAGCCCCTTTTCTGGCAGAGCTTTTCATGGCAAACCAGGCACGGCGGTACGTGCGTAAGCCAGTAAAGAAATTCCAGATTCCCTTGTCTTCATCCATCTGCAGCCCTGAGCTGTGCCGGGAGCGGAGGGCGCCGGGACACGTAAG